TTGAATTCAAAGTTTTCCTTTCTCCTAGATGGATTGCTTAAAAAACTGATGGACAACCTCGTCCCGAAACCAACAGAACACTAGTTTTAAGGTGCTGGTTATTTATCTGTCGCCCACTTCTGTTACCCACCATTACCCACCCTCGCCACCTACAGGCCAAGAGTAGGACTTGGCTGATTTGCTGGTATCGTGGCTAATATCAAATCTTTTTGGGGGCACACACACCACACACACACACACACACACACACACACCACACACACCACACACTTACACTCACTACACTCACAAAGGCACGCGCACACAAGCACACACACACGTCTTTGTAATTACTAGGGATGCACCGTAGTTCGGCCCCAGCCAAAATCCGGCTTTTTTTCAAATCCGGCTGAATCCGGACTTGGAAAACTTAAATCTGGTGCATCCTTAGTAATTACATTAAGTAACATTTATAAAAATCAATATTGTTTTAATAACTGCAATTCTGTCCTAAAGTATTACTACAAATGGTAATAATAATAATAATAATAATAATAACAATAATAATAACAACAACAATAATAATAAAAATAATCACCACGATAAATAGCTACAATAGTTGTTTTACAAAGTTTTGTACTGCCAAATATGCATTGACTATTCTCACCTAATCATTTATATTCAGATCATGATTCTAGATGAATAATAATATAATAGGTGCAGTTTTTTGATGAATAATAAATGATAATAATAATAAATAATAATAATAATGAATAAGAATAATAAATAAGTCATTCTTTGATGAATGAGGCGCACATTAATTTGTGATGTGACTAAATGACGCCCTACATGAATTCCATTCAAATAAATTCTTTTATTATTATTTTTACTATTATTATCATTATTGTCATTATTATTTTCATTATTATTATTGTTATTATTATTGTCATTTTTATTGTTATTATTATAAAGTGAAATGTAATTAAACTCTCGCTCCGGTTACATTTTTTCATCGTCAGACCGAGAAGGCCTGACTACGATTCAATTTTAAGTGTTTGAGACATTCAACAATCCTTAGTCCGTACGTCTTCACTGCTTTGGCTCTCTTGGTTTAAGCGACGCGGGTGTTTGTAACTAAGATATGACGAAACATGCTGCCTTGTATTACACATTACACCCACTATGCCCATGTATTTCAGTGGTGCAATCGTACATGCAACATACAATTTGGTTTGAAAACTATTTTCATAATTGAAATCTTCCTGGTTTTCATTCTCGCCTAACTTGTTTTCAAGTTTGTCATCAAGTTTTCTACATATATGAAAGTGTATTGCTGTCTACCACGTGCACACATTTTCTCCGGTTGTCACCATGGATTATCATATATATCCATGGTGACAACCGCAGTTTCTGTCTGTTCGTGTTGACGGCCACTCGAAATTCGGAAACCTTACCTTCGTTCAAATACAAAACGATTGCCTGTTTGCCGAAAGAAAGCTGGAAATGACAAAATGAACAGTTTGAGGAGTTCAACATCTAAATCTGAAAAGATTCAGCTTGGCCAAAAATTCTTGTTCAACAAAACTTTCATGTGCAATTATTTCTACTTTCACGACAATTATTCATTTTTATCGCCCTCTATAGAAGATACGATGTTTTAAAATTATACGGTTCCCCATCCAAACTGCTGGCCGCCCAGAGTGAGTTCATCACATATAACATACCTCGCACGTGATAGGCCAGGATCTCCTTGCATCATCACATCAGACGCCATTTCATCACCGAGCCACTACAAAATATTTTCACATAAAATCCCCTTTTCCTTTACTGACTTCGTCCTTGGAAGTTCTTCGCCCTGTACATCAACTCCACCACTGTTTTATGTCAGCTGAACCTACGACGAAAACACGCCTGATAAATTCCTAGTGTGATTGACTTGTCATTCCTTCACAGTGAATCAACCTTTTATTGTTTTGAATGACTGTTTCTGTCTTGAAAACTCGTCATAAACTTGGCAGGTGAACTATAAAAGTAGAGAGAAAGAGAGGGAAAATGAGAGAGAAAAAAGAAACACAGGGTTATACATGAGGTTATAGATCACGGAACAGTCCCGAGTCAACAAAAATTCTGTGATGGTCGTTACAAAAAAGGGAACAATCATCACATGAATGCGATTAATTTTTAAAAAATAACTCCCACTCAAAATTCAATTTTTTTAAGATTTTATTAAAATTCACTTTTTAACGGTTTCATCTTTACGATACGACGACAATCCATCCTACCTATCCATTCTACGTTTGCCAGTTGTTTCATTGGTGAAATATTTTTGAATGGAATATGAACAATTTGTCTCCAACCGTGCCTTGAACGTCGGTTGGATCTTATATGGAGAATCAAAATAATTTGATGATCAAGGAATGGGTGAATGGATGGATGAATGAATGAATAAATAAATGAATGAATGAACGGAAAAATGGGTGAACAAATGGGTGGACAGATGGATGCGTGAAAACGACAGTGAGATATTGAATATGACGACAGCAGTAACAATAACAATAACAACAACAAAAATAATAGAAATAATAATAATAATAACAATTAGCAATAAATCAACAGTGAAGAAAATGCGAATGATTCTTAAGAGTATTTGTACAGAGTGAAGATGAAGGAGTCGAACTGAATCATCTACACATACGTTCGTATAGAAATAACATGAACGTACACCTACACACACACACACACACACACACACACACACACACACACACACACACACACACACACACACACACACACACACACACACTAAGTACCTACGAACAAGCAAAATATAAATGCGTATATTGAAATTTACGAATTTAAGCTAATTAAACAGAAAAAATACAAACTATGAAAATTTCAGTGTAATGAAATTGCCAACTAATCAAGCAATGACAAATCATTTTGTGAACGACTCAGTCAGTCAATCAACTGACCAATGAATGAATGAATAGATAGATGAATGAAATGAATGAATAGATGAATGAATGAATATCCGATAAATTCATTCCTTTATTCAACCAATCAACCAACCAACCAACCAACCAACCAACCAACCAACCAACCAACCAACCAACCAACCAACCAACCAACCAACCAACCAACCAACCAACCAACCAATCAATCAATCAATCAATCATTTATTCAAGTGAATGAATGAATGAATCGTTAAGTAATTTGGTACAGATTGAGCTAGGAAAAAGAGAAAGATGGATAAGATAGAAATTAAATAAATGAATGAAGAAACGAATGAATGAATAAAATGATGAAACATTATACAAATAGAAGAAACGAATGAATAATCAAGTCATGAATAGCGGGAACGTTATATACACAAACAATCACACACACAAACACACCCACACACACACACGCACGCACGCACGCACACAAGCACCCATACACAAGCAAACTATACAAATCAAATGACTAACACCAATTTGAAAATGAATTATACCAAAAATAAAAATATTGAAAATAAATAAACCTCATAAATCACATACATTTATATGTACAGCTATATAAACTTCATTTATTTCATATATATATATATATATATATATATATATATATATATATATATATATATATATATATATATAGGCAAAGCCATTATGAATTATGTAAAAAATATCAATGTCGGCATAACAACATGTTACAATCCAACGAAAATATACTGAAACGCAGCTGATGATCAATAAAAATGAAGTTACTACTACTACTACAGCTGTCTCCTACTACTACTACCACTACTGCTACTACTACCATTACCACAGAATGTTTTCTTAAGATCGTGTTTTTTAGAAGATAAATACACCCAGCGACACATAATCATCTTTAATACTGAAAATAAATGCTGATAACTTGAATGAAACCCCATATAAATCTTCTTTCAGTATGTTTTGAAGTATAATGTAAAGTAATTTTACAATGAAAAACCATCACATGACTGATTTAAAGTGTATTTTTTCATTTAGTAATTAAATCAAAGTAAAATTATGATGCAAAAGTTGAAAAATCTTTCTGGGAGTAAGAAGAACCCGGAGTCGGAATTTTTTTAAAGGAACAGAGTTTTTTTTCATATTTCATATTTTTCATCCGGACACCCTGATTACCACCACTACTACTACTACAACTACTACTACTGCGTCTGATACTACTACTATTACCACTACTACTATTACCACTGCTACTACTATTACTATTACCACTACTACTATTACCACTACTACTGCTTCTGCTACTACCGTTACTTCTAGCACTACTACTAACAATAAAAAAAACCGTTATAGCAACTAGATGCAAATTAGGTAAGTTCAATAACACGGCGGTGTTACATAGCCCAGAAAAAACCAAATGGCTGTGTTTAATAACAACAAATAATAATATTAATAATAACAAATAATAACAACAATAACAAAAAATGATGATAAAACTACAAATACAGCCAGCATATTAGTTGAAAATACTGTTACTTACGTACAAAATCGTCATCGTCATTATTATCATTCTTATCATCCATCGTTATCACCATTGTCACTATTAACATCACGTTTGCAGTAATTTGAAAATGAATTTATTCATCCTAGCTACAAAAACAACAATAACAACAACAATAACAACAACAATAATTAACAATATTATCAGTGATAATAAAATACAAATAATTACATTGTAGTAAGTCTCCCCATAGCAGTCAGTTGACCAGCTGAAAACCTCTACAAATAAATGGACAACAATTACATACAGTTAACAGATACAAATAACAAAGGTTAAAGGTCATCCTCTCGCAATCAAAAAACAACAACAATTATTTGTATTATCGTTATCAAGTTATAAAGATTAGCCACGAAAATTAACATAATGTATGAATAATACGATGGTAGGCCTGTAATTTATGTTAATGTACTGTACTGCAGTGTTTTCACTCGTGCTCTCATGCATATTCAAACCATAATTAATTATTAAGTTATTATCTTTCATCAGATGGATGTGTGATCGATCTGTACGTATAGCTGTTTAACTCCGGCCTGTAGTGGCGAAATTTAATTATGTAAATAATAATAATAATTATTATTATTAGCAATAATAATATAATAGTAATAATAATAATTATTATTATTAATTAATTAATATTATCAGTATAATAATTAATAATAATAATAATAATAGTTATTTATATAAATATTTATTACAAATTCATTTCAAACGCAATATAAAAGTAATTATCATTTAGCGATATCACCAACAACAACGTCATCATCACTAGGACCATCCCAAACAAAAAATCATCACCATCATTGCCAACACAATCATCATCATCACCACCAACAACACAATCATCATCATCACCACCAACAAAACATCATTATTATCATCACCACCAACAGCATTATTTAGTGATATCACCAACAACAACAACATCATCACTAGGACCATCCTTAACAAAGTATCATCACCATCACCAACACAATCATCATCACCACCAACAAAACATCATCACCATCATCACCACAACAGCATCATCATCAATACTAACGGCAGCAAAGATGTTGTGTGTCTGACTGAGGATGTACTTGTTGTCAGCCCCTTGGGCCACCTCCAGCTTGACGGCTCCTATGTAGACGTCGCTACAGAGCGTCCAGAAATGAGGCTCTTGCACGCTGTACACCCCCTCGAGTTGACTCACCTGGTGGTGGTGATGATGATGATGGAGATAATGATGATATTGATGATTATGATGATGAAGATGGTGGAAATGATGAAGCTGGAGATGATGATATGCTGACGATAATGACACACACACACACGAAGGCACACACACACACACAACATGCGCAAAACAAACCCTATGGAAACATCCAGGCAGAAGATCGTCCAACTCTTTAGGCTGCCTCTGCATCAGCACCGCCATTGATTCGCCAATTAAGGGTATGACGCTGATGAAGATGGTGACGATGATGAATGGATGACGAAAACTGTGATTATATGATAAAGATAACGGACAAAAAATGAGGACAAACAATTTTGAAAGACAGCAAGCGGACAGCAGACATACAGACAACCAGACAGACAGACAAACCAACAACAGACAGACCAATGGCGGATCCAGAGGGGGGGCGGTGGCGGCGATCGCCCCCCCGACTTTGAACTGAGGTTTGATATTTTATGAAATAAATAACAAAAAGCCAAACACTTCAACTTCTTGATTTTTTTTAAATTGAAAAACATTCTTCAAAACATTGTTCTGTTATATACATGAAATATTTACAAGACAAATGTTATTTTTCTACATTTTTTTCGGCCAAACCTTGTTATAATGTCTTCAATATCTAATTCAATATCGCGATGAATGTTCATTAAAGCTAATCCCGTTAGTCTTTCCTCATTCATTTTGGAGCGCATCCACGTTTTTAACCGCCTCAGGGTAGAAAATGAACGTTCTGCCGTTGCTACTGAAACAGGCATGGTGCACAATATTGACAACAGGCTGTGAATTGTCGGATAGAGATTGGAATTGCACAATGCGAAAGCTTCAATGGCCGTTTTGGGCTGTGAATTCATCTTTACCCAGTACTGCGTCCAGAGCATTTCTTCATTGCGTACAAATTCAATGGCCGTGTTGTCATCATACGAGGTCAAATTTGTTATTAAACTTTTATATTTCGTAACAGCTTGGTCAATTAAAAACCATGTTTTATTCTGTTCTGCATTACCACTTATTCGGAGAAAAACTGAAGGTATCAAACGACTCAAACCCATTATAGCTATTTGGATTGTTCCAAATTTTGATTCCATGTCTGTTATCATACTATCTAGCATGGGAATAAATATAGCAATCCTGAAATATTCTTCTAATGAGTTACTTTTAATATTTGCACGATTTACTTGTCTTTCTATACATCTTGGCATTTTTAATTCAATATTCAGTTCCTCTGCAACTTTAGAAACTCTCGTAACGATATCATGAAATATTTGCTCAACATTTTCTCTTCTAGATTGAAGATTATCTATGACTCTATTAGCATGTTGAGCTGCCTCGACCAAATCTAAATTTTCTGTTTGTAAAACTTTGCTTAGTGGCTTAGTTAGAATTAATGGATCGGCAATTGAGTACAAAGCTATCAAAAATTCAGAATCAGTTAAAGCCGATAACAACGTCTTTGCTTTGGATGATGTTTCTCTGTCATGCCAATTAGCAATATTTTCTAAAGAAGCTAGAACATATTGCAGGGACTGTCTAAAACTGATAATCGAATCATGGCATTTAACCCAACGTGTCTCACATAAAGGCATGACATTTTGTCTCAAATTTTGACTTTCATTTTTAAACATTATTCTTTGCACTAATTTTCTTTTGGCCGATGCGCGAAAAAAGGAAGCCGTTTGCTTAATAGTGCCCATTGCATTTCTTATGGCTTGTACATCGGATGTTTTAGATAAACTCAAGTTCAGTCCATGGTTAGTACAAACACAATGAATACATGATGTAGCTTTTTTTGATATTTCTGCAGCTGTACCACATGACTGAGATGTCATGACAGAACATCCATCTGTTCCACAACCAACACAATGCTGCGGATATAAAGTTAGCGCTTTTAGTAAACGTAACACTGAGCCGGCTAACATTTTTCCGGTTAACTTTGGTTCCGATTCTATATCTTTGTATGCATCCTCTAGAGAATCCACAAATGCAACAAAATCTTCCCTAACCTGGCCGTTGTAAACATATCGTAAGCTCAAAGACAATTGCTCAATACCATATATGTCAGTTGTTTCATCAAATAAAACTGAATAAAATTTGGCTGCTTTAACTCTCTGTACAATAGTATCTGTAATAATATCGCCAATTGTGGTTATGATTTCATTTTGAATCGTTTTGCTTATGTATGTCGCATTTGATTTAGATGATTTTAAATGTTCTTCAAGAACATGGTCTCCAGCATCGACCCTAAACTGAAGTAGTTCTCTGAAATTACCCTCATTTCTAACTGGACCGGTACCATATACCCCTTCATTAAGCATGTCATTGTCCAAATTTTCATCATCTTCATCATCATCATTATCAGCATCGCCTGCATCATTAGTACTTATATTAAGTTTTCCGTCATCTCGATGTCCTCGTAGAGGAATATTTTGTTTTCCCAAAAAAATAATAGATTTAATTATGGGCTTCAATCTTTCTCTGTTTTCCTTCATTTGCTGATATCTTGCGGAATAGAGTTGATTAACAACTTCAAATGATGGATTTTGGTATGATTTGACAAAATCATTGCCCCTCTGAACTGACTCTTTGTGATACCTGTATTGTTCATGACAGCTGAGATCACCTTTTGCCTAATAATTTTGCAAATGATGTAAGTGGTTTTTTTACTAATTTTTGCAATGGCGTTTGATGACTAATACCGCCGGTGTCAGGCATTAGAGCACAATACCTGCAAAATAAACCTTGTTCCACATGCGAGTATGTCAACCATGCATTAAATGTTTCCAAGTGACTTTTCAAAATGTACCGTTTTTCATTTTTACCATTTTTAATATGATTTGAATACGGAAATTTGTAGCCAAATTTTGGTTTCCATGGATTTTGTAGAAGTTCAAATTTTATATCATCATTAATTGTTTTATTACTGCTGCCCACATACAGTCCAATATCATTATTATGTACAAAATCCATTTGTTGATAGACTTTTTCATTATTCTTTATCTTGTTATCTTCGTCATTATCGTGCAAAGCTACTTGCTCAAATGATTCATCATTTTTAACAATCACTTTTTCATTATGATTATCGGAACTATCGCCTTCATGTAGTTCTAAAAAAATAAACTAAATTTAACTTAACTCTGAACACTTATTTAACAATTTCTATGCTACTAGTGAACAAATTCATATCGTATGGTGATCTAACCTGGTGGATGTGCCCTTTTAATTCGCTTCACAAAACGATCCATATATATTTAAATTAATCTTCTAAAAAAAACTGAAAATATGATTATGAATTATGATACTTATACAGTATTATTACTAGCGCAACTCAAATTTGAATTTTTAAAATGAAAATCAGACGGAAGAAGCGTTCAAAAAATTTTCAAGTGTATTTTGCCGCGTGGGTGCGTTCATAATTTTCCTTTGATCATTTGTAATAAAAATTATAAATAAATCAAAGTAAACATAAAACATTATATTATTCAATTAATTTACATTCTAAAATTTATAATCAAAAATGGATATATTCAACATTACAAAATATTTATTTAAAAATTTTCGCCCCCCCCCCAGTCAAACTTCCTGGACCCGCCCTTGAGACAGACAGACATACCTGAGGCCGATAAGGACAGCAATGAACATGGAGCAGATGGGATCAGCAATCATCCATCCGAAAAAATGGATGAGGATGGATGAAATGATGACGCCCACACTACCAAGCGTATCAGCCAGGATGTGCAGGAAGACACCTGGAGATTAAAGTTATTGACGTCTGCCAGGTAACGCTCATAAAGACCAACAACCACTAATTATAATTTGGTATGCAATTTAATGACACTAATATACATTAATTTTATATCAGCATTTGATCTGACTATACAAATAACTACTAAGTTTTTACTTTTTATAAAATTCACAATATTTAAGAAAAAAAAACCACAATGATATATATATATATATACTCTTTAAATATGATGATGGAGATGATGATGATATTGATGATTATGATGATGAAGATGGTGGAAATGATGAAGCTGGAGATTTGTATAATCTTAGAGAACTTAAACCCATCAGTTTCATCCATGGATATATCAACCATGATATTTATCCATGGATTCATCATATTTTCACGCGTTGTGGTATAAAATGGGATAATGGATATATTAAATGGCATTAGAACTTAGAAAAACGAATTGCAAAAAATTGCGACAGGATTTCCAAGGAAATGGAATGGGAAATTCCAAAAAAGATGTATGACTACTATTATCACTTCTGCTGCTAGTAAAACTACTACTATTACTAGTACTACTGCTATTACTACTACTAATAATAATAATAACAATAATAATTATAGTAAAAAGTTTAGTGAAAGATAACGAAACATAATTAATAATAATAAATTCTGGGATCCGAACGAACCTTGAAATATTTTATTCTGTCCTGTTTCGAATTTGGCATGCGAGTGTTCATCACTGCTGCAAGCCACATCACCTGTAATAAAATAATAATAATAATAATTACCATAATTTTATTATTATTATTATTACTGTTATTATTATACTATTGTTATTGTTGTTGTTGCTTTCTTGTTATTGCCGTTGTTAACTATTCAATATCGAGATTGAATATATAAATCATATTATTAAATATATACACATATAAATCAATGAAAAACATTTAATGCCCGTCTTAAAACAAATTCGTTGAATACTTTATTCAAAAATCAACAACAACAATAACTGCCACAACAATAAGAACAATATTTACAACAACAAAAACAATAATAATAATAATTACAACAATAACGACAACAACAACAACAATAATAATAGTAACAACAACAACAATGAATGATAACAAATGCAGTCACCACAACAGTAATAACGAAAAATAATAGTAACATCTGTTACCATTAAACTTGAAAAATCAATGTCTTAAATTATATAAACATATACACATATATATATATATATATATATATATATATATATATATATATATATATATATATATATATATATATATATATATATATGTGTGTGTGTGTATATGTGCGCGCGCGTGTGTGTATGTGCCTGTAATATATGTATATATACACGTGTATATTATTAAATATGCAATTAAAAGCGTATATATATATATATATATATATATATATATATATATATATATATATATATATGGGTATGTTTAATCAAGCACATAAACATATATGTGTACAAATGTTTGTATGTAATTAAGCCTGTACAACACAGGTATACGCGATTGTATTGCATTGGGTAGGGTAGTACATGTGGTATAAATATGAAGATATTTATTCAGAGTTGTATAAATAAATAAATAGACAAAACTGTTGAAAAATTCATTTACTTAACAAACAAGTCATCATCATCGTCATCGTCAACATCATCATCATCATCATTATCACACTAACTCAAATTTAATCATTATGAAATGGAAATCATCTTAATCACAAATTCAAAACATGTGCACTACAAATATTAATAAATATCTATACACATATGATGTGAGTGCGCGCGCGCGTGTGTGTGTGTGTGTCTATAAATATATATATTTCTCCTTTAATTGCACACCACCATGAACAGACAGACTGCTTACTAGCCAGCCAACATTTAATGATTATGATGAATAAAATTAAATAATATTATAAAATATTTGAAAATGTTGTATAATGAACAATATTTATTAATTAAAAATTAATGATGAAATTATATAACCAGCCAAAATCAAACCACAAAGTGAAATGGGAAAAAAAAACTTGAACAAACTCTCATGAGAATGTCCATGCTTTTCATGTGAATGTCCATGACTGTTACTATCATGAGAGTGACCATGACCTCCATGTGAGTGACCATGACCTCCGTGAGAATGTCCATGACCTCCACCACCCCCATGTGAGTGGCCGTGACCCCCGTGAGAATGTCCGTGCCCCCCGCCTCCGTGTGAGTGGCCGTGGTGGGAGCCGCCATGTTGGAATGCAAAAATGCCAATCAAGTTGACTAAGAAGCCGAGTACTGAGATTAGGAAAAGTCGTTCGTGGTGGATTTCAGGCGGTTCAAACATGCGCTGTTGGATGGTTAGTTGGTTGTGTGATTGGTTGGATGGTTGGTTGGTTGTGGGGTTTGTTGTTGATCGATTGGTTGTTGTTGCTGATTGATTGGTTGTTGCTGACTGATTGTTAGTAAATAAATTTGTTGTCAATCAGTGAGTTGCTCATCGATGTTTAGTTGGTTATTTTTGCTAAAATTTTCTGGCTGCTCTTCACACATTGTACTGAAAATAACTCCTCTCAAATATTTATTAGTACTTGAAAGCTGCTATGCAACATATTTAAAACGTCCTCTGCATTTTATAATGTCCTACCTCGGGATTGATTGATGCTATAAATCCTAGTTGATGGTCACCATCAAAAGATTATAACAATTGTAGACTGATTAAAATTAAATTCAAACAAACATATTTAAAATGAATGTTAACTACTTTTCGGCTTTATTATGAAATTATTAACAACCTCTACGGCCTCTGAGAATATGAAGAACGCAATGAAGAGCAGGAAAAGTCCATTCACAAATCCTGCTATTATCTCAGCTCTTACATACCTTTTAATGAAAAAATAATAAATTTAAATGAAAAATACTCAAAATAATTACTACAAATGAAGATAATATATAAAGTTGAAAATTCTTTATTCTCACCCGTAAGGATATTTGCTGTTTGGTCGCCACCTAGCGATCAACGAGGCGGCCAGACCAGCCAGGAGTGCTGTACAGTCGAAGAACATGTGGAATGAGTCTGATATTAATCCTAAACTGATTTTTAAATGTTTTAAAAATTAAGATTACCACCCTTTTGCTACACTAAGAATGCTATAAATAGTATAATATAAATAGAAAATAATATTTTCCAATATTTCCAAATTAAATATTAGCTAACAACCTGTTGGTCCAGATTCCATACATAAGTTCCACAAAAGCCATACTCAAGTTGAGCAGTAGGAAAAGAAATAAATTTCTTGAACCAGCATCTGAGAAGATTAACCTGGACGGGTGAAGTCATTATGAATTGAAACAGAAAAAATTGCTATATTTGTAGTGAATAATAATATGTAATATTATAATAATGAATATAATTTTTAATATTTTAATTATTAAAGAAGATATTATAAAATAAAATTATAAAAAGATAAAAGACCAAAAGAGTACAACTAATGAGTTGTTGCAAGAACCAATCCCATAATTTTAGAAAGATTTAAATTTAGCATTTTAATTGAAAAAAACTATTCCATTTATTTCTATGTTTAGTAATTTTGTGTTTTTTTATTTTTCAAACCTGATCCAGCCGGAGATACGTTCCTTGATCCGGAAGCCGGGCTTGTACGGTTTGTCGTCAGCGTGGATCGGCAACATTTTTTAAATAATAATTTTTTTCAAATAAATACAAATAAATAAAATTTAAATATAAAAATAATTCAGTTGTTCGGCATTTGTTACTGAACGCGACTGTTTTTTAAACATACGTCGCGTGTCAAAGGAAAGTTTTTTAATTACGAAAACATTTTAAAAGTGAATTTAAATTATTAAACAAATTTAATCTATAACTGTTAATTTTAATTTATTCTAGCTGAAAAACAATATTGCTTTAATAATATTTTTAAATTTATGTAATTATTTGCCAAAAAGTATATTTGAAGGTTTTTTTTCATCAACATTGAGTCAAATTGTGACCTTAATTTAGGTCAGCGATGTTGTGCCGGTGCACTCTCACTAATGTTATTCTTTCGAATAAATGTATGAGTACGAAGGTTGAGTTAAAGGACAACACGGCTGATCAGCTGATTGCTCGATTAGGCAGTTGGGCAGGTGAGTACCCATCATGATACTTTTCTCTTTGTAGGTAAATGCTTCACTATTGTTAATGTATAAACGGTTTTATAAAATTATTTCAAAATAAAATTTGATATTTGATTTTAATTTTTTATAGTACTGCAGTCTTTTTAGGTGAACAACCCCAATGAATTCATGAGATCGACCACCCATCACTTCGTCAGCTATGGGAGATTCTTCGGAGAAAGTTGAACCACCAATATCGCAAATTAACAGCACTGATTTAGATCCTATCTTGAAACACTTACAGAAATGTGACAGCTTCACAGACAACAGTGACAGTGCTTTCCACTATGCCAAGTTTTCGTTATCCATGAGTGACAACGAGTCAATAAAAACGAACAGATCCAGCATTAGTAGCATGGGGGGTTACGAATATGACGACATAAATTATCCTGGTGATCATTTGATGAAATTTGAGCCTGGGAACCTGCGCCTGAGTTTGATTCTGGGAATTTCAGAAGATGAAAAAGCTGAAAATCGACTAGCCTGTGCCAACCACTTTCAACCGTATTCTCCACAATCAAACAATTTTTCACAAGACAGTGAGTTTGATTTCTTAAAAGAGAAGTCACTGAGGAAGTGTATTTCATTGAAGTCAAACAAAACACCCCCAACAACACCGACTAAGAAAAAGGCAGTGAGGTTTGCAGATGCTCTCGGTCTCGACCTGGCATCCATTCGACACGTCATCGATTTGGATCAGCCACCTATTGTCCCCGATTATGCGATGAGGGACTTGAATCTCAAAAGCGATCCAATTGTCCTTCTCAACAGTCAGCAACAGACCAGACGACTCTGCATCTGCTTCTCGTCGCCTGAAAACTGTCCTGACTTCTTCAAAAGAGTTCAAGAAAGAAAGGTCCTGCTGGAAAATTGTTTTGTTGACGACAACAGAGGTTTAGTTTATGGTAAAATTCGAGTCATGAATGTAGCTTTCCATAAATCAGTGAGTATTAGATACACCCTTAACAGCTGGTTAACAAACGATGACATACCAGCTCGATATGAATCTAGCTCAGATGACAAAGCGACCGACAAATTTGCATACACGATTATCATACCAGACTATTTCAGATTGGGTAACAGTTTGGAATTCTCAATAATGTACACTACGGCCAATCAGACATTTTGGGACAACAATTATGGCAGTAATTATAGAATAGAGTGTTATATGACTAATGAGTCTAACAACATCTTCTAATTAGAGTTTCTATTCATCGCAATTTTAACGTTTATTTCATTAAAAATTAAAAAATTTGATCTTTGTTTCGCCTGACGTGCTGTTGTGTTGTCGTCATCCTGTCAGTCGAAAAACATCAAATTGTAATATTTGTAATTGTGTCTTGTTTGTAATCATCTATCCTGTTGTACGTGCACATGTACATACCTACGTCTTATTGTGTTGTGAGCCACCGTATTATTTTTATATATAATAAGTGAAGTGATACAAATTTCTGGAAACAAGTGATTTTGAAGTTAATTATATTTTGTTTTCAGCATTTCTTTGCCATTTATTTCAATTAAAAATTATTTCAACAAAGACGACAACGGTTTCCAAATTGAAGAACTTGCATGATATTCTCACCATATTATTTTGTTTCAATACGGTTAAGATCGCTTATAACGTCGTTTACCAACCTTCATTAACCTCTTCATTTTAAAATAATAATTATTTTTCTTTAATTCAGTTTTGAGATTTTTCAAACTATTTTTTCGTTTTTTACTTCAATCTTTTGTATATCTATCTGTATACATATTTATTTGTGTGTTTGCGTATATATATATATATATATATATATATATATATATATATATATATATATATATATATATATATATATATATATAAGTTCTCCGTCATACTAGAGTTTCCATAACAGTTTTCCAGCTTGTTTTCAAACAAAAGCAGTTGCGTGTCCACCTCATGAAGACAAACTTTTTACCATCCTCACAGCCATCGTTCGCTCTGTATCTTTTTGGCTTAAGACGGTGAGTAAATTTAGATTCAATTGGTATATATTTTTAATACATGAAAAGTTATGGACTGCTTATTATTATTTGCTACGTTCTATGCTCAGTCTACCCGAAGGTTTACCTCCAATATTGCCTAATTTGTATAGATTTATTTATAGACAGTGTATGTAAGTATATATATATATATATAATATATATATATTATTACACATTACAGTATACGGATAATAAATATTTTTTTATTTATAATTTTTTTAATAATTACAGTGCATTAAAGTTTTGTTAATTTTTATCAGAAATCATCCGAAATTAAATTTATGTAATTTTTCGACAAAAGAATAAATTTGAAGGTTTGGTTGTTAATTTATCTTTGTAAATGACAGATCCCAGGTCATATAGATCATACTATCATTTACATCAGCAGAGTGGGTCCGCGAGAATTCTACGTGTCGTCTTAGTTTAGCAATACGAAATGATCTAATTCGTTATGTGTATAATTTTTTTAATAATTATTACAAATCCAAACGCGCGTATCGTATATTTATCGTTATTAATTTTATGTGATTAAAATATTCAATTTTGAAGGTTTCTAAATCAAGATATGGTAGTATAGTGGGTGATTGACGGCTATGCGGACGTAATATATTAGTAAGATTTATAACATTTGTAATCTTGGTAGGCCGTCTAATTCCACATGAAGCAAAATGTTCTACTGATGTTAAAATATTTCTATCGATACATCTAAATTATAATTTGTGTGTGTGCATATGTATATAATAATGTATAATTATATCCATGTTTGTACGTGCGGTGTAGTTCGAAACCATAAAGCTCACCATATTGAGTTGTCCATTTGTATCGAGTTTAATAAATTCTTTGATGAGGATGATGACAAGAATGAATTAATAAAAATAATAATCAGTATAATTATTATGTTAGTAATTATTATATTTATTATTATAATATTAACTGGAACATTTTAGAAATTTTCTGAAAGTAAATGAAAAATAGTAAAGATACTGAATAAGGAGTGAACGGACAGTTGCAAATTAAATCCGGTGGTAGAGTGCCATTTGAAGTGGGATTAAGACTTGCTAGAAGAGGACCGCAGCAATTAAAATTTAAAAATAACGAAGCCGTAAATTTTAATGACGTCATTGCTTGCGTCATTTTCGACGTTAAGTAGCGTTGCGCTGATAAATCTTTCGAGTGCCGAGTTGTGAATGAGTGAGTGTCGTTTGGAGTGAATGAACGAGTGTATCGAATGAATGAATGAATGAATGAATGAATGAATGAATGAATGAATGACGGTTTCTGTGAACGAGAAAGAGTTGTGGAGGAATGAAGGATTGAATGAACAAATAGATGAATGCTAGTTGTTTTTGTTAATTCGAGCATATGTTGTCAAATGCGTTCACTCGATCAATTTAGCTGTCATTAAATGTTTTTCTAATTAATCCATCGTCATCCATTCATTTATTTTTCTCATTACTTATCCACTTATTCATTCAGTTCAGCAATTTATCCATCAATATTTTATTAGTTTCCCATTATATAACTGGTCGAACCATCCAGCCATGTTCTTGTTTGCCATCCCTCTATTATCTATCCATTATCTTTTATCTTTCCACCTTGCTTTTATCTTTCCATCTGTCTTTTTCCATGCGCATTTCTCCATCCGGTTTTTGCGTACGAACGCACGCATCTGTTTCTGAGCTGGAATTAAGCCAATAAGCTCTTCGCGCACTTACATTTGTTTGATACGATAATGGCTTGCATTCGTTGACGGTCTCTTTCTCTCTCTCTCTTTCTCTCTCTTTCTCTCATTCTCTTTCTCTCTCTCTCTCTTTCTCTCTCTCTCTCTCTCTTTCTCTCTCTTTCTTTCTCTTTCTCTCTCTCTCTCTCTCCTCTCTCTCTCTCCCTCTCTCTCTCTCTCTCTCTCTCTCTCTCTCTCTCTCTCTCTCTACCTGGCCGTCATCCGTACTTGCAAGCAAGCATGCGTGCTTGCGTAACTGTTTCGGTGCACGTGTACCTGAAGCTCGAGTGTGTTTGTGTTAGTTTTTGTGTTTGTGTGGAATTATCAGAAAGACGTCATGT